TTGGTTAGATCCTACGGTATTCTGATTTTTAGGAAGTGAGCAGAGTTAGGAGTAAGCAGGTTGCATGGAAGTCTTTCGTGGGCATTGAAGGCCCCAAAGCTTGAGCTCTTTCAGCATGCTGACCTATTAGATTTTTATCTCCTGTAAGCTCTTCAGCCTCTGCTGTTATTAAATATATCCCAGTGAGATCTATAATAAATTTATTTTAATAAGGCACTTGAGAAATGTTCTCTGGAACTTAGTAAAATAAATGTTAATTACTACAAATAGGAACTTGGAGCTATTGATCATGTTTGGAAGCCATAACTAAAATACAATTTTGTCTTTATAAGGCATGTTGTAATTTCAGTAAACAAATTAAGATTCTTTGGACTTAGAATGTAGCCTGGTGAAATTTTTTTTTGCCAGAACACAAAATACTAAATGAGAAAAAAAAATCTCTTTAATTCCAATAAAGATCCAGTGACTGCTCTGACTTATCCTGGCACCTAACTTTATGTCAGGCCTGTGACCTCCGCCATGTTTTCTTGTCCCCTCCTCCTCTAGCACCTGCAGTCTCCAGGGGCTTCTCTCCATTTCCTGGTAGTCCCCCAGGATCAGTGAGCAGTTTTATAGAAGGACTTTGTGAAAACAACATTCCTCAAGTTCCTATGTTTTGAAATCTTTCTTTTTGAAATCAACTTCCTTAGAATGTGTTTCAGTTATGATTTTTCTCTTTTTCCTAGGTTATGATATACCCTATATGTCTGTAAACTTGAATTTTCTTCTACTTCAGGAGAGTTGTATTCATGATGGCTTTGAACATGCTTTCTGTCCTTTGTGTCTGGCCCTCCTTCAAGGAAAACCAGGCCTCCCCACCTGGGTTTCCAGTAGCTGCCATTCATATCTCTCTGTTTTTACCTTGTAATCTTTTCCCCCTCTGTAATCTTATACTTCAAATTTCATTTTCCTCACTTCTCAAATTTTTTCTCTATGATTCTTATTATTTTCAAATTGTGTCAGTTTTTCATTATTTTCACTATAACCATCATATCTCCAATGGTTTTATTCTTTTCTCTGTGTTTACTGAGATCTAAAAATCTAGTTTTTATCTTCTTTTTTTAATGTATTTGGTACAGGGTCTCACTTCACAGCTCGGACTTGTAGTGATCCTCCTGTTTTCAGCCTCCCCAATGCTGGAATTACAAGTATGTGCCACCATGCCTGGTCTTGGTGGCTGGCTCAGTGTGCCCAGAGGTGGGTCCGGTGTGGCATGTGGTGAAAGGAATTGAACCCTGGTCCCTGTGCTTGCCTACGCAGACGCTTAGTCCACTGAGCTATCTCGCCAGCCCTTTATCTTTTGTGACCTATTTATTCCTTATGCACTTGCATGTTTGTTTAAAATATTTTACCTGTGATGAAGTTTATTAGGTACAGCAGTTAACCATAGCAATAACTAAAACAGAACAATAATAACAATATGCTGTAATAAAATTACCAGCATCACCACTCTTTTGCTTTGGAACCATTTTTTTTTTCCTTCTAGAACATATTTGCAGTACATAATAGCTACAGTTATCGTGAGGAGTTGGCGCATGCACATAACACATCTTAATTCTCTCTTCTGTCTTTGCTTGGAGACCTTGAACACTACAGTGCAGCTATTCTGGAAACACACCTTAATGAAAGGCAGGCAGTGTATATGGTGGATGAGCTGGATGAAAGGCTGATCATGTCTTGAGTGTGAAAGAGTGGGATGGCCTGAGATGCACCCATTATATGAATGATGCTCAGTTTAAAACTTAGGAATTGCTCAATGTGATGGCGCATGTCTATAATCCCAGCACTTGGGAGGCCAAGGCAGGAGAATCGCTGTGAATTCTAGGCCAGCTGGGCTCCATAGTGAATTCAGGGCCAGCCTGCACTGCATAATGAGACCCTGTCTTCAAAACAAAATACTTTATGCATTGTTCATTTCTGGAGTTTTTCATTCATAATTTCCAACCATAGTTGATTGAGGGTAACTGAAAGCTTGGAAAGCAACCTGAGTAAGGGGTCTGCTGGAATCATTTTTTCCTGGACTTTAGTGTAGCATGAATCTATCTCAGAAGCTGGATTCATAAAAAGCTTGTATGTCCATGGCGTTTGTTGTCCTTTAGGCCTGTGAGAATCAGGCTTGGCTGTCCAGTCATGAAGAGTAGTGCCCCAGCCTCTCAAGCAGGGATAGGAAGGCTGGGGTGTCCCATGTGTGCCCCTTTGCAGATGAGCATGTTTTTGTCCACATCAGTGCAGTTCTCTAGTACAGTGTTAGAGATACAGCTCAGTGTTTTGAGTTGTTCTCTTAGGAATTATGCCTGTTCTCTAATTAATGAATGGTTCAGCACTATTAGGTAGAATTACACAGTTGTGCTTTATAGTTTAAAAGTGGACAGTACTGCAATTTCATATTCTTTCATGTCATTTTTTATTACTTCCCGTCCATGAGTCTTTAACTTTGCATCATCTGCTCACTTTGGGGAAGGAAGACAGTGATATGTTCTGTGCCTTTTTTCTATCAGTCCTGTTTCTCACAGTCTCCATTTCTGATACGGAAGACTCACTGGGAGTCGAGCCCAGGGCCTATTTTCATGCCGTTTGAGAGTCAGCTGATGCATCCACACCTCAGTGAGTCTTCATGTCACTGTTTGTGTAAGCATCAGCTGACCCTCATCCAGAATGTCTATCCTCTGTGCCAGCATAGTGCAGTTTCCTTTTCCTTTATTGTCTATCTGCCTGTCTACATACACACATAATCAAAAATATAATTAAATCTTGAAAAATATAAATGTGCATTTTGAAAACTAATGGGATCTGAGTCCTTATTTTCATCTTATTTCTTACTGCGACATGGATGCAGTGCATAATGATTGCTTCCCATGTGGGGTCAGCACCTGGACAGAATGTCTTCATTCTTTCTCTCCCTTTCCCTGCCCCTCCTAATCTCTTGGTCTTCTTTCCTTTTGCAACAGACCTATCTTCCTATTTCCTATTTTGCTCTTATTTATATTTTGCGTTTCTGATATAAGAGAATTCACATGATATATAAGCTTGTGTGTCTGATTTATTTCACTTAATATTGTGGTCTCAAGCTGCATCCATTTCCTGCAAGTGACTCAAGTCTGTCCTTATTTGTGGCAGAGTAATGCTCCATCCTCATACTGTGTTTTCTTTATCCATCATCTGTCGATGGACATACAGGCCACTTCCAAGATGTAGCTATTGTGCACTGTGCTGCTACAAACATGAGTGTGCATGGGTCACTGCAGTATGATATTTTTAACACTTTCAGGGAGATACATAGAAGGGGAGTAGCTGCGTCAAATGGGATTTCTGCTTTTAATTCTTTGAAGAATCTCCACACGTATTCCCATAGTGGTGTCCTAGTTTACATTCCCTCCAACAGTGTAGGAGGCTGCCTGTTTCCACAGGGACCCAAGGCTTTAACTGCCTGGATTCTTGACTTTAAGCAAGGGGAACCAAGTCTGGTTGGGATGGGAACCTGATGCAGGGCTCAGAAACCATGAGAGGCCCAAATGCCCTGAAAAGGACATGAATGAGGGAAACTCTGAGGCTTTGCTTTGCAAGGTTCTTTCTGTTGATTGTGTGAGAGTTTTTAACATGAGTGACTGTTGACATTTATCAGTTGCTTTTCTTCCTATGTCCAGATGACCGTGAATGTTTATTAATTATTATAGTGTGCTACATTTATTGATTGAGTGTTAAATGTTGGATCATTCCTATATTACTTGGTCATGATGTGTTATCCTTTTCATAGAGTACTGAATTCTATTTAGTAGAAATCATCAGTGAAACCTTCTGAACCTGGACTTTTCTTGTATGAAGGTTAGACTATGACTTTAGTTTCTTTAATAGATATAAGACTGTTGAGACATAGACATTCTTGAATAATCCAGGGCAGTATATGTCTTCCCAGGTCTCTGTCCTTGTCTCCCACATGTTGAGTTCACTGGCCTAAGGTCATTTGTGGTTGGCCTTTCCCCTTTGTAGGATGTGCGGTGCTGTCCCCAGTCACTCCTGACACTCATTACTTGCCTTTGTTTTTCTAGGCCAATCTGACTGGAAATATATCAATTTTTTCTTCATTGTTTACTATTCTACCCACTGAGTCTCTTATTTTGTTTTGTTTTGCGTCTTTTTGAGACAGTTTCACTATGTGGTTCAGGCTGGCTTCAAACTCACTTTGTAGCCTAGGCTGGCCTCAAACTCACAGCAATCCTCCTGCCTCAGTTTCCTGAGTGCTGGGATTACAAGTATGTGCAGAGTTCTCTTCACAGCAATTGAGTGGCCCTGCAGAAGGCCCCAGCTGGAGCTGCACTTCTTGCAGGAGGAGCTGGAGTGGCCTCCTGGCCCTTGCTGGTAGAGGACTAGACCCATGTGATAGAGGAGGGGCCTGGTTTGGCTTTGCCCTCCTCAAGGAAGCTACTTAAAGGCTCTGATCACATTTCCTGCTACCTGTCTGTATTCTACGTACTTTAGATGTGTGCTCCGTGTGTGGCATGACAGTCCTCATGAGAACAGAGCGCAGCCACTGTAGTGTGAGTATTGATGACCCACAGATCAGCTCTAATTGGGCATACCTGGCTTAGGGTGCAGGCACTCTGCAGCTAATGATCTCGCAGCAGACTTGAGTTGGCAGAGGCCGTCTTTAAAGGTGTTTGTCAGAACACCGGTGCACGTCTTCTATAATGTCAATTATGACTTCTCTATAAAGAATAATTGAAGGAGTCCTGAGAAAGGCCTGCTTTCCACAGAAAGGTAAAATTACCGTGTTCATGGATTTCCCAGGACAAGGGTATCATTGTTTCTGCTTCCTGCTTCTTGTCCCATACACAGGTGATCATATTCCTCCTGGTGGCAGGGCAAGAGATTTTAGACTTTCCTAATGCCTAACTTTGAGAAGACAGAGGCCTACACTGCTTTTGTTCAGTAACCCAGTGATTCCTTCTCTGTTCTGTCCACAGGAAGCTGGCTAAGAGTCTCGGAGAGGCTGGTGAAATCGAGCCTGAAACAGAAGGAATACTAACAGAGTATGGTGTCGATTTCTCTGATTTCTCTTCAGAAGTTCTGGACTGTCTCCCTCAAAGTCTGCCCTGGACAATTCCACCTGAGGAGGTCAGCAAAAGAAGAGATCTGAGGTAAACACCTGAAACCCTTGAAGAAGTGGTCTCTGCCTTTCTGCCCTCCAGCCCAGCCTTTTTAGGAACTGAGCTCCTGTATCACTCTCTTGCCACCAGCATTCAGATTCATTTGAGAATGAGAGGCCAGCAAACTATGGCCAAGTCCAGCTGACCACCTGTTATGTACAGCCCATGTGCTGAGTAGTTTTTACATCTCTAAATGGCTGTGAAAAGATTCTGTTTCATGCAGATTACATAAAAATTTGAATTTCAGTGTTCGTGAACTTGTACTACATTTCTGTTTATTCCCTTGTGCTGTTTTGTGTCCTTGCTGCACAGTTGAGGAGCTGCAGTAGAGACCACGTGGCCTGTGAAGTTGATGATAGTTACAGCCTGGCCTTTCCCCCAACTTTGCTGCCCCATTCTAGATTATTCTTATTTCAGAAGGTGTGGGCGCTGCATCTTTTCTCCCCTGCAGACCCCATCGATCTGGTCAAATCAAAGCAGTGCCCCAGGTTAGCGGCGCCTCCTCTAACTGGGCCTCTCTAGGCACACAGCAAAGGATTCAAGACTTTTGTGCTTGCAGCTTCATTTTAAAGCTTTACTTTTCGGTCTGGAATTTGTTGGAAAGTACTTTTGTGGTATTTTTATAACAACATCTTCTTTGAAGATGTTTCTTCATTGTGGGATGTTAGTTCTTTTCTGATATTTCTCTTCAGAATTCGGTTTCAGTCCTGGCACTCATTTTGGATGCCACATGGAGATATTTAGAACCAAGAAAATTTTCATACAAGCACTGAGGCCATGGAAGGGTTTGCTAAGGTCATCCCATGTCAGAGTCTTTCACCACGATGCCCACTGCAGCGTGGGACCTAGGGACCCTCAGACCTGGATGTCCATTGCTGCACCAAGTCGGAGAATTTGCCTTCTCTGACCCTCTTGTCATGGTGTCTTTGCAGAATTTATTGCTCTTTTTCTTTTTCTTACTGGAGATAGGCAGGAAAAGGAGATAATGAGCCCCCTTTTCTACTTGTCAGTATGGCTGATGGGACACGTGTTGTACTTGAAGTCAGCTGGCCCAAGTTGCCGACCTGGAGTTTAGGAGCAGCTGGAGCTCAGGGCTATGAGACCTGGGCTCATGGCCTTTACCTTTCTCCATGTAAGGAAAGGAGCCTGCCTTTCCTTCTGTGTGAATTGGGAGGTTTGTTTCTTAAGATCTTCAACTGAAGACTATAGAAGCATCATTTATTTATTTATTTATTTATTTTTTGTTTATTTTTTTTTCAACAAATAATACACTGCATATATTCTTCTTAGTGGTTAATTGCTGTACAAGATGCAGACTTGTGATCCTATTTACAAACACCATTAGAACAAATCATTCCATTCATTAACAGAATGTAACTATATATCCATCCCAACCACCCTGAATACACAGATACAAAATGGACATTCATCTGTATACCCCATTTTTTCTAAGTTCCGTTATTGAATATTATAGGTGTGTAAACTCAGCAAAATATTCTAAAAGAGTCCAGTAGCCCATAATAGCATTGGGTCTCTGTTTAACTGGCAATGTCAGAAATTACTGATCTGAGTCCCCCACAGCTCAACTTAACAGCATGGCTTTATTTCTTATAATTGCATCTTCATACTTTTCTGCTGGATGGTTAAGACCAAGGTAAAGCAGGACCTATGCAACAAGAGTTGTAGCTTTTTTGTCTGAGAAGGTCAGTGTAATGCCCTCAGGATTTGTCCTGAGATCCTGTACCTCAGATTGTAGAACCTTTATCAGTGCAGCCATGTGGATGAGTCACGGCCAATGCCTGGCCAATGTGCTCTCTGTGAAAGCCTGAGAGAGTGTCTTCTCCCCATGTGACTCTCCTTAGGCCCACTCTATGTCATCGATCACTTTCCTCCTCGGCCCCATAATCTTCTTGATCAGAATATTTGGGACACTACCGAGGTACATGACGTTACAGTACAAGTTCTCATATGTCCTGAGTCTTAACTGACCTTAGAAGGCTAGGGCCAAAATGTTGGCTTTCCTTGTATCCTTCCTTTTTCTCCAATTTTGGTCTGCAAACTTAGGTTGTTAACCATCCAGAAGAAAAAGAAGCATCATTTAATGGGAAAAGAGAAAGGAATGTCAAAATGAACCTTAGTGTTGGAAATATGATTTAGTGTGGCCATTCTGTAATTCAGATCAAAATTTTACTGTACCTACTATTTCCCAAAAACTCTTACTTCCAGGAATCTGTCCTCCTCAAAGTATACAAGCATATGTGTACAGAAGTATTCATTGCTGCTTTATTATAAAACACTTTAAGTCCTGCCAATGTCCATCCATAAAGGAAGGTTTAATAACCCATGGTATACCTATATGATAACATTCATATATTCATCTTTGCAAAAAAGAGAAGGTCCATGTAGACTGTCCCGTAAGGCTGGTTGTCAAATAACCTTAAGGGAAAGGACCAAATTTCAGAACAATGTAAAGATGAGCCAATTTTTATAGAGTAAATTATACAAAAACTATCTCTCTATACCCACAAATACATGTATACACTTATGCATACACACACATATAAAATATCACATACAAGAGAAAATTCAGAAGGAAGTAGTGATTACCATAAGGGATGGATTTGGTATAGTAATAAAGAGGTAAGAAATCACTATTTTTTAATTTTGAATACTACTACATTATTAAAAATTTTAAAATAACTTCTAAAAATTATAAATACATGTTCCTGAAAATAGAAGCAATTGGTCTTTTGTAGCCTGTCTCCTAGATTTTGATCAATACTCAGCATTTCCAAGTCTGGGGACCCAGTGTTGCTCAGGGCTCCCCTCGCGGGCTCCACCTTGCCATTCCTGTGTCCTCGTTGCCTGTGTTGCAGGCAGGCACTGCAGGACGGCTCTGCTGGCCAACACCTGTGTGCCCTGGGGAAGCCCTTGGGGCTTCATGTGAGCATCGCTTGGGACCTTGTGGATACTTTCTGCCGTTAGTGTAGTAACAAGTTGTTTTTTAATCTGGTTTAACCTCCAAACATTTTTTTCCCATCTGCTATCTCCAGGATTATATTTCTAAAATTCAATTTTGATAATTTTATTCCTTTGCATTTGAAGTCTTTTAATGGCTTCCTGATACCTAAAGTAGTAATCTTAAAATATTGTTGAGCATACATTCCCAATACATGTCCCTATTTTTAAATTATAAGCAAATATCCTATGTTTTTGATCTATTATTTACATTGTAAGCATAAATAAAAATAGAAAAATATATGAGAATGATACAAATTATTAAATATTTTAAATTATTTATAAAAATTATAGGAACCACATTTGTTCAAACTCATTTTACTTTTGATATAAGCAACTTCATTTTTATTATTCTTAAATTTCACTTTAATAGCATGATATGGAAATTCAGAGGTCTGATTCTAAGTCTCATATGTTCTGATAATTGGTTTTAGTGGTGATCATAAATGAAAACAAGAAATCAGACATGGTGGTGCATACCTCTGCTTGCACTCAGGGAAGCTGAGGCAGGAGGAATGTATGCGATCACTCTGAGAAACTTGACAACTTAGTGAGACCTTGTCTCAAAATAAAAAATGAAGTGTGAGAGGTATAGCTTAGTCCAGTGGTCCTGGGTTCAATCCCTGATATTGGAGGGAAATAGAAAAGATAAACATTTACAAGATATGAGCTAGCTTGCTAGATCATACTAATTGTTTTAGTCCTATTCACCAGTTATATTCCAATTTACTCTGAGATTCTGCTAATAAGTTGACATCTTTCTTGATATTAGTTCTTATGGACTAATTGAAAGATCGTGCATTTTTGGATTTTTTTGGGAGGGAGGAAGTTCATAATCCTCAATTATTATGCAGGTGGCATCTTAAAAACTAGTTAGAAAATTATGTTAGGAAGTTTGGGCATATACACATGGCCCATTTTGTCTGTAGTTTATTCACTTTTATCAGTTTAGGACCCAAATTGTATAGTAGTAAAAAGTATTTCTACACATTCACTTAAAAATGTTACCTACAGGCCAGAGAGATGGCTCAGTGGAATAAGCGCTTCCTTGGCAAGCACAAGGGCCTGAGTTCAATCCCTGGTTCCACCAAAAAAAAAAAAAAAAAAAAAAAAAAAAAAAAAAAAAGATGTTACCTATAAAACATAAATGTCATTTTTAATTTTTAAATTTTATTTCATTATGTATTTGGTACAGGGTCTCACTATGCAGCTTGGACTCTTAGTGATCCTCCTGTCTCCGCCTCCCCAGCCCTGGGATTACAGGTGTGTGCCACCATGCCTGGTCTTGGTGGCCAGCTCAGTGTACTTGGGGGTGGTGCAGCATGTGGTGCCAGGGATCAAATCTTGGTCCCTGCTCTTGCCTGAGCAGGCATTTAGTCTGTTGAGCTATCTTCCTGGCCCATAAATGTCATTTTTAAAATACAGTAACTTTCCCCATCAGTGTTAAGATACTACCCTTGAAGGGACAGATTAAATTTGTTGATTGTTTCTACAGTACTGAGTGGGTAACATATGACTGGTAGCTGTTGTTTTAAAATCATATGGCTAGGGATGAATTTATATTAGAAGCAAAAAAAAATCAATTTTGCCATTTTCATGGTGTTAGTAGAAATGATATTATTAGCTTAGTATGATCTTCAGTCTCTGAATCTCTGCAACAGTCTTTTAAAACTACATAACTATTTATAAAGGTTAATTTGGCTAAAATGGATAATATTCCTAAGTGCGTGGAAACAGGCATGGGTGATGCCCAGTGACCACAAGTGGCTGGAACTGTAGGAACTGGGAGCGCACCAGGGAGCTGTCTTTTCTCTAGAACCTGACTCTCATGTGGACACTTCACTTAGCCCTGATCATGCACCTAGTGCAGTCATGGGGGTTAATTCATCTATTTGTGTAGCCATAGTTAATTTCTTAGTTTGTACAACAAAATTTACATAGAGAAAAGTCTGGAAGTACATTGAAGTGTTTGG